AGGGCCCCCCCCCCCCCCCCCCCCGCGGCAGGTAGGGGCGCTTATGGCCGTCGCAGTTGGGCGTGGACTCAGGGATGTTGTCGTGCCCAGGCACTTGTGTGTGCGGCTGGGCGAGTGCGGTAGTGCAGTGATGCTCCTCGTTTGCTGCTACAGAGGTGCGTGTAGTGGACTTTCCGAGCATCAACCGAGCAATCAACATAAGACGGCCTGATGTTCTCCTTGTCGCGCGAGGGCGCTGTCCTAAAGATCAAAGTGAAATAAACTAGAAGTCACAACTTGGCATCGCATTTGGTGTCACTAAGCACGCGTATGTGCTCGGTGAGCTCTGCGTGAAAACAAAAGTCTTTGGTTGCAAGGCTATTTGCCTATGATTGCGGCGATTGCGCACGTCGTCCATCCTCCGCCGCCACTCCTTTGCGTGCGCCACTGTACTGGCAACCTTCTGCGCGTAATCACCGGGATGCCCCATGACATCATCATCAATAGCAGTTCCAAGTGAGCTAGGCGCTGACGCATGTTGTCGGGAGGAAAAACCTCTGGTTAATCGATCGGCAGCTGCAACTTGCCTTTGGCCTGGCATGGGTAGCGGTTTGCGCTCAACAAGAGACGCTGCTTTCCCTGGAAATGCCTCTGTACTATTCCTGCGAAAAGGATCGCCCCAGGGAACTCGCCCATCTTTGGTGTCGCGCCCACTGTCGTTCAAGGGTGGCAGTGTCTCAGCAAAATCAAGAGCAGAACCACGACTTTGTCGAAGGGGACAAGAGAGACGTTTGATGCGCTTTTCATCTTGTGCAAACACGTATGTAGTGAGCGCTTTGTAGTTTGGTACGTGATGCTCACGGTTTCGGACCTTGCTTGGAATGGGGTAAATCCGGTCGAAATCGGTCAATAATCTCCCTTCCATTTCTACATCGCTGTCAGTCGCCGTCTCGTCTTCATCTTTTTGCGTCTTGAACAGGCGCACATCACCTGTTGCTTTATTTTTGTTCAATGTGATTTTACAGCTGCTTGTGTCATCATCATTTTTACTTGCTCTGATCTCTGTCTCACCAGCCTCTACCATCACGTATTTTCTTTCTACAAGACGCACGAGCTTTTCTTCCCTGCCAACATACTTTCGTAGAAGTGCATCAACCTTGTTCACCTTCTCCGGTGCATGACGTCGTAGGATCGTTTCTATGCGCCGTCGAGTTGATGCGGCTAAGGTCGCTGCTCCTGCCACTGTTGTTGTAGCCGCCGTCGCCATGGCCGTCGTCGCCCCTCCTTGTGTAGGCGTGTTACCACCCCATGACTGGCTATTGTATAAACGTTCCTCCGCCTTACAGCGCTGTGCCTGCTCATAAATAAAACGGTCGTGTGGCTTGGCTTTCACTATTGATATAGTCTGCTCAATAACACGAGATTTGATGTTTTGATCCAGAGGTGAGTCAGTCGCAAACGAGGGAAGATGATTCACCTCGACTAGCCACGGTTTTAGTGCGTGGTCGATAATAATATCCACACCCAAAACCTCAAAACAACGAGAACCTTCAACGACGCGTTGGCGGGTCGATTGCGAAGCCTCTGCTGCATCTGTTGCCAGAACAGACCCACCATCCTTATATTGCGCCCTTCGATCCTGACCACCAGTGTCTTTGAAGAAAATAGACTCATATTCTCGCACTAGCGTGGGCAAGATTGAAACAATGACCTTCACCGACATGGTGCCCATACGCCACCAGAGAGCATCGGCCTTAGCTTGGCCTTTCTCAGCAGCAATATAGTCCATGAACCAGCGCAAAGAACGCTTCGAGCCCACATTACCTGCATACGCATTTTCATTAGTTTGGAAATTCTCGTTGTGTTTGTTGATTGCATAATTTGTAAGGTGCATGCACCGCATGGCAACATTCTCCGCATTTGGTTTGAGGTACTCCTCTGTGCACAATCGCACGAGACCATCATGAAAAAGATACATGCGTAGTGGCTTGCAACTTGTCATCAACACGTAAAGGCGCAGATCGAATTTGTATCCATCAATCAAAAATGGTTTTCGTATATAGTGCTGGGCCACAACTTGTTCTAGCGGAGAAATACTCTCAAAGGCTTGGGTTAAAAAAATCCCACGACCCTGACAACCAGAGTCTGGTTTGACGATGTAAAAACGCGACGAGCGTCCCATAGAATCGAATTGAGCTCGGAAATCTGCCAACTCTAAAGGAAGCACCCAGGTTCGAGGATAAAAGCTGTATTCTTTTGGAAACTCACGACGCATCTTCTCGAGATTCTGAGCCAGACGATTTTTCCTTGCAATATTACTCATTCCAGGAAAGTGATTTATTCTTTGCCACGGCCGTAACTTACTCATGCGCTCACCAATATTGGCGACGTCTATCCAATACACATTGCACAAATCACATTCAGGGTCTTCTGGTAAATCTTTTTCGTGCCCACGTTCACGCGCACATATTATCCGCCAACCAAGATCCTGGGCAGCTTCAATGATGCAGTCATACCTAAGCCGGAAGATCATCGAATAACCATATCTTCGACGCCGTCTTCCTGTGATAGGGTGGCCAGTTACTTGCACTCGGCAGCGCAAAACAATATCTCGTCGCTGTTGTTACGTCGTCGTCGCCTTCGTGAACCTCGTTTGTGCGTCAGCCGTTTCGGGATATTGCACTTCGCTGAACTCATTTGTAATCAAACCGTCTACAAATGAGGTTGGCGCTCCCAAATATTATATACAGATCAAATATCTCCAGCTGGGTCTCTACTATGCACGGGTCTAAAGTCGTGCTGGCGCTTCCCCGGGGGCTCCAGTGCACTGGGAAGCCGATCCGATGGGCAGCGCCCGACTTTGACGGCCGCGTTCGGCGGCTCGGTCCGCCGGTAGGAAGTTAGGACAGTTTATTAGCCCCCCAGGGGGTGTTTTGGCGCCGACAATAATCACTGTTCGTGACTACCCAGAAAGTCCAGTCGATCAATGGTTTATTAGTCGACTCATGAGCTGTTAAAGAACCGTTGATTCGACTGAGCGGAGGGGGAGATCTAGCGGGGCCATCCTGCCTTCGTATATTAAAATAACCTCGCTGGCAGTTTATCTGCCAGTGTGCGGTACCGTGCCCGACCCGAGTCTACGAGAGCAGCCTCCCTCTTAAGTCAGCTCCAGCACCCACTTAAACTGCCCTTAACAGAGAGGTTCCCCAAACGTCCCCCCAGCCGGGACGTTTCACCTGACTTGCAGTCAGGCACTTTCGCGCTACGGAGAGCGCTTAGCGCTTAACATTTCCCATAGTTTCATATCTTATATCGTTTTTATATCACTTGCGCATAACGACCACGAGCCTATCTTAATGCCTCTTACCTTCGTCGAAAGCCGTCGTGTTGTAGCGATAATAGAAGAAACTATAGGAAAACTAACGTTTCTAGAATCAATAACGCCCGATGTTCTTCAGCATCGGGATGAGTTATCCAAATTCGTGGGTGATGAAATTTCTCGCATCATACTCGAACAACGCCAGTTGGAACAACGCTACGAATACTTGATAGCGCAGCGTGGGGCGCTGAAAGGTTTGGCCAACAAATCAAAATATAAAGAAGTGCAGAGTGAGATTCAAGACGTTTCACGTGCTCTTCGAGAATCGACCAAAAACCTTTGCAGAAACTTGAAGGATAATCCTAACATTTCTGGCAACCTACTAAAAATCCAACGCGAGAGACTAGATTTGATAGACATTTTGAGAACAACTTTACACGAGGTGCATTGGCAAATTTCCTGTTCAACTGATATTGTATTTATCTAGGTCAGTGAAAAGGGTTGTTTTACGACACTCACGTGCAAAGTGTCCGAAGACAAGGCTGAGCAAGATCGACTCAACACCATCATTCAGCGAGAACGCGAGATGTCCGAGGCTGTCAAACAGTATGATCGTGATTTGAACCTAGAAAGGATCGAACATCAAAGACAAGTTACAGAGCAGCAAAATGCTATCATGCTGTTGAAGCAGCAACTTCAGTCAGTTCGATGTAAAACGGCGATGGACGCGAAATACTATCGGAAGGAGGCACATGCGCGAACATGTTCAGTTGCTAGAACATGCCGCCAAGCAGAGAGGTCGCAGGAGATGAAGACGAACGAACTTGAAAGACGACATGAAGTTGAACAGAATGTGCATCACACAACAGTCGAGTTTCTTAAGATTAAGCAACAGCAACTCGCGAATGACTTGTCACTTTGGGAAGAGAAATATGAGTCAGATTATCGTGAACTTGAAATTGAGTTTGAGCGACTGACTCAGGAACGGGTTGCTAATTTGGAACGTTTGACATTCCTTAAAAAACGGCGCGATACTGAGCTCGAGCAGGAACGCGTCATTCGAGAGAAGGCAGCACGACAGAATGAATTGGATCGCTTCCGACTCGCCGAGACGCACAAGAAGCATGGTGCGGCCCTCATAATCCAAACGGCAGTACGGTCATTTCTACAAAGAAAAGCAGAGGATGACGCGCGCCGTGCTGCAGACAAAAAGAAGAAAAAGGGTGGGAAGAAAAAGAAATAATCAGGGTCAACTCTCTCGAGACCTACCCCTGTTTGCTGAGAAACAGAATCTCGCCCTTGGCTACATGGCCTCGCAGGGGCAGCTGCGGGAGTCACGAGGACTAACCTACCGGCAGAATGCCAGGGAGGGGGGACCTCAGTTACTTCGTGGTAGGAAAAAGGAGAAAGGAAGCGCCCTTTCTCCGAAGGCCAGAGGAAGGAAGACCCGGCCCAAGACAAATGAAGAGCAGCCAATCCCAACTAGGATTGCATGCTATCCTGATTCTTGTCCAGTGGTGTTCCTCTCCTTTCTTGCCATCGTACGATGTATATTATACTAACCTCGCTGGCAGTTAGCCTGTGCCTAAGTGGTTACGACCATGGTCGCCGCCACCCGGATCTACACTCAACCCCCCCCCCCCCCCCCCCTNNA